TCAGGCAACAACACCTGCTTTCTCTCAGGGGGACTACTCATTGAGGGCGCTTCCCTTTGACATCAGCCACACCAAGTGCCCCGTTTTCTCCCGTCAGAATCTAGGCTTCGTGTTTCATGCCGAGTCCATATGCTAGCATGGTGGGTTTCCTAGCGAATGCTTAGTGGTTTTTGGTTTCAGGCAGTTTCCCCTTTCTCCCGGTCAAAGACTCCCAACCGCATAGTAGCTTCATTTAGCTCATGGACGGGGCTTCGCTTTTTGGCTTTAAAGGGAAAGCGAAAGGAAAGGCTCCAATTCCTGTTTTGAGCCGAACTCAAAATCGGTGTGTCCTGTTTCGAGGCTTCCATGTTTGGTTTTCAGGGAGCACCAAAAAGGGAGCCCAACCATTTCGGGGCTCTTCCAAGGAAAACCCACCGCATGACAGTGCTTTGCCAGGACTTGCTGCGGCACGGCTCAAGTTGGCAGAGCTCCGGGGGTCGGCCGGGTGAATGTTGGGAACCCCCCTCAAAAAAGAAGAAGAAAAGAGCAAATGAGCTACAATCCAATGAGCTACAAAACAAGAGACCGATAATTTCCATTGAAACAAGTACCCTCGTACAGAAAGCTGGGAATTGCGTGGAATTGAGCTAGAATCAAAACCCGGGTAGATGAAGGTTGGTAAGGGACCAATCCCTTGCCATAAATAGCTGCGACTGCCTTCTTGATTCTTTACATGGTTCTGGGTAGACCATTTGAATGCCGGGTTTTGATTATGCCCCAAATAAGGCCCTGGAGTCTCCATGACGCAAAAAGTGCGGCCGCTTCTTTCGTTTGTGGTAACTAAGGGTCGGATGGAGGCTCCAGAAAATGTGATTTGTGTTTGAGCTTGCCCTTTTGGTGGTCGTTTTAAGCAAGTAAAAAGGAAGCCAGCCCAGAAAAGGGCTTCTGCTCACATTGGTGGAGCTCGACAGCTTTCGATCCCCTTGAGGCTTGCAGGGAAAAATCCGTCCGTTTGGCCGAGCACTCCTCTGCAGTTGGGCAAAGCGGCAAATCGCCCATTTGTTTTTTTGGGCGTGTCTTTTGTTGGCAGTTGGGACCGCATGTGCGAGCGCCAAGCCGCATGAGCGCAGAACTCTACAATTCTGACTCCACATTCGAAGGGATTGTTTTTCATCTTTTGCGGCCTTTTTGCACTGGCGGACGCAACTGACCACCGCCACACCAGAGATTATTTCAACGTCAGAATGATTGGTGGAGTGGCAGAACGGATTCAAGCGATTCAAGGCATGCTGGGCAATGCTCTCAATACTCACATGCAGTGGCAATTTGAAGCTTCCCAAGAGAATGCAAACCTACCTGCACTTTTTCCGTTGATTGGCAAACTCCCACCACTGTTGGCACAACACAGGCCTGCGTATAAAAGCAAGCTGGGCACTGCTCACACACACACACATGCGGTGACAGCAAGAGACTTCCAGAAGAGTTACAGTACTGCCGGCATGATTGCATTTACCCATGCAGTGTGGCACTCACACCGTATCTGCATTCAAGTCATGCACGTGCCACCGTTCCAGCTATTGGCAAGAAGCCAAGACTGCGCCCTGGCATCCCTGGCCAAGCACTACTAACCAGCAGCTTCTTCTCTCAAGCAGCTTCTTGCGGGTGCTTGCAAGATGCTCCATCGCCGGTCCCTGGACATCGGCCATCCGAGCACTTCGTTGGTGCATCCGTTGGGCGTAAACCCCTCCTGCTCAAAGGCTGTGCAGTGCCAAGACACATGGCTCCACGTGGGTACTTCATCGCCCTCTTGGCACCAGGTGCAGGCGGCTACTGCCCTCTGCTTCATGCGGTCAAACCGGGCGTCTGACACGGCTGCTCCTGTCAGGACAGCTCTGCCATGTGCCCCTTGTTCCAAGAAGGCCATACGGGCAGATTTCGTCCGTGCCGGGCTGTATTGCACGTGTCGCACAGCCTGAGCATCCTGGCGGCTTCTTGAGAATTCTGTCCACAGCTTCCTCCATGCGTCCCGCACATTGTGACCAAGCTGCTCCACAGACTGTAGCCGAGGCCTTGCCCTCAGGCTGAACACGGCACTACCTGCCGCGTGGCTCCGCTGCCAGCATTCAGGGCAAAGCTCATAGCCACATTGAGCTTCTTGAGCTCGCTCTTGTTTGGAAAGCGAGTCATCCAGCTGTAGGCAATCTTGCTCATAGCCTGAGTTGCAAGGACCACCTTCTTCAGCCGCCACGGTAGTGGCAGGTACCTGGCCTTACGAAGCATATGTTCCACAGAAGTCAGGCGCTTCTTTTCGTTGGGCGTGGAGCCCCGTTGCTGCCGCGGTTGAAACTCGACCCCAAGGATCCTCGGGTGCGTGGTCACAAGCTCCAGGCTGACCCCCAGACCAAGAAACTCGCTTTAGTGTTGTTTGCCTTCCTTATTTGCTAAGGCGTGTCATGAGTCAAAGAGATCCCCGTCCCTTCCCTCCCTCCCTCCCCGCGGCCCATCCACCCCTCGCCGAGGACGAAGCAGCCGGGACCTTGGCGATCTTTCCGATTGTTGGGGCGGACTGTGCGGGGAGTAACGCCCGCATGATCTTTGAGAGAGCCTGCTTCTGGGCAAAGCGTTGTGGTGGCCGACTTGTACTTTTTGTGTGTTTGCGTTGCTTTTCTTTGCGTTGCTTGAGTGTTGCTTGCTTTGCATGCTCTGCTTGATTGATTGATTGATTGATTGATTGATTGATTTGATTTGATTTGATTTGATTTGATTTGATTTGTTTCGGTTTGATTTGATTTGATTGATTGATGGATGGATGGATGGATGGATGGTTGGATGGATTAATTGGGTTGATTGGGTTGATTGGGTTGATTGGGTTGATTGGATTGATTGGATTGGTTGGATTGATTGGATTGATTGGATTGGTTGGAGCAATTGGATTGATTTGATGGGTGGGATTGATTGGATTGATTGGATTGATTGGATTGGATTGGATGGATTTGAGTGATTGGATTGGATTGGATTGATTTGATTGATTCGATTGATTGAAGGATTGGATTGAATTGGATTGGATTGGATTGGATTGGATTGGTTGGTTGATGGATGGAGGGATGGATGGATGGATTGATTGATTGATTGGTTGGTTGGTTGGTTGGTTGGTTTGTTGCCTTTCTTTGTCACATGGGTGAGCCTTGACAATAGACCGCCGCCGCCCACACATCCCGCGCATACATCTTTGCTCCACCGAAGGTGCCGTAAAAGTGGGCATGGGTCAACATCCCGTACACCCAGCGAACATCCCAATCCCCGCTAAAATAAAGCCTAAAATGGGTGGTGAATTGACCCACCCCAAAATAGGATCCCATTGGTTTTGACCCACAGCCAAGTCTCAATTCTGAGCCCCGGCTTGCGCTCGACGCTCGGCTTGAAGGGCTGGTGTGGCCGCCAAGGGCGTAGCAAGAACGTGGCTTTTTTGCCCGGAGGGTGGGCCAAGCGGATGTGTGGTGTGTGTGCAGCCCAAAAAAGGTTGTAGTTGTTGCCTGCCAGTTTCAAGCTGGAGCTTTGTACAGCTACACGCGAGGTGTTCAAAGCCGACCCCGCGAGGGCCCTTTGGCTTCAAGATGGGAAGGCCCCTCAAAAAAGATCAGCTTCTTGTGCCGTCCCAGGTCGACGTTTTTTTTTTGGGGGGGCCTTCGGTTCGCCCCGGATCCGAAGGTCAGCCCCGCCCGAGCCCCCGCGCAAGCGCGCTGCCCCGGAGCAGCGGTGGTTTCCCCGAGGCACCTCAACCGCAAGGTCCAAGACACGGACAATGTCGAGTCCTTCGACCGCGAGTCTTCCACGTGACATGCGGAATCCGGCGACTTGTTGTGGACCTGAAAAGGGACTCATGGCCTCATAGCTCCTTTCCCTTGGACTCAGGTCGTTCTTTTTCTTCTTCTGGTTTCCTTAAACAAAAATACAACCTGATAATAGTAATAATATCGATTTGAAAGGTCACAACAAGTCGGACTTTTTCAATCAAGATAGGAACCCCAGTGGGGCAATTTCTCCGGGAGGGCACCAGGGACGGAAGGCCACACGATGTGCCTGCGAAGTCTCCGAGTTTGGGTCATCCGACTTTGCAAAAACGCCGCCAAGAGGGAGTGGGCAGTTTTGAGTTTGTGCAGATTCTAGTTGTGTCCAGGCCTTGCAATCAAGATGTTACACTGACCCATTTGGCTTCAAGAAACGTGACCAAACCAAAATCAGCGGCTTCCCTTCCCCCGTCAAAAGGCCACGCGGACCTTTTGGCCGGAAGCCACAGGGGTCGGCTTGGAGACTTCAAGGGACGGCAGCACCGGCCAGAAACCAAACCTGCCAAGTTCATGAGCTTGGTCACTTCCGCTTAGATGCGCGTGGCTCATCTCTTGGTGATGGTTTCCCCCCCCAATGAGGCGGTTTTCATGGCACGTGCTGGCACTGTCCAAGTTCTGAGTTGGTTTGAGGGGTGTATTTGCGTTGGGATTCAAAATGAGATTGCTCATGCTCAATCAAGATGCCGCGCGCCTCTGCTAGATGTAGTTGCTCGCCCAACGGGACATCAGTTGCAACAGGCAAGTTGTCCTTGCTTGACTGTGCCATCGGCCAGCTAGTTCCAGCACGCCGTTTTGCCTTTGGCCCCGAAGGGGAGCGAGTCCTGGCGGCGTCTGCGTCCAAAACCCGCCTGTCATACGCGACATGCCGATGAATGGCGTGTGTGTGTGTGTGTGTGGTGTGTGTGTGTGTGATGTGTGTTTGTCTTTTTGGCGACTTGGGGTTCGTTTTTTTGTAGCGGGCTACTAATGCAACCAATCCGTTTTGGGAATTGCAAGTGTTGGGGGGGGGGGGCAGGGCGGGTCAACAATTCCATCCTTTCCCTTGGTTCCATTGGTAATAGCTGCATATTTTGACTGCTATGCATGCATATTGATCCATTTCCTTGGCAGTTTTTTTTGAGGGACCTGATTTGCACGAAGGAATGGAGGGGTTACTTAGCCGCCGTGCGAAAGGATGCCACGCTCAGCGTGATGAGCCGGGCACTGAGCAAAGCAACCTAGCAACGGCGTCCTCGAAACAATTTCCGGGTTATTGCCCCAAAAATATGGGGTTAAATTCATTTTTTTAGGGGTAGTTTGAGGGCCCAGGTGGTCGCTTTCCCATTTATTTCAAGGCTGACATGGGTCTTCCATTGCAGTCGCCTCGCTCTCAGGCAACGCGGCCCAAGAGCGCCGTCACCTGCAAGCCAGGTTAGGGCTCGAGTGCGAGATTCTGGGCAAATTAGAAGGACGCCTGCACGAATTTGTTTTTGGATGGGTATTTTTCAAAGATTTTTTGTTGGATTTTTTTCGCTTTTGGCTTCTTGGCTTCTTGGCTTTTCGACTTCTTAGCTTCTTGGTTTTTAGTTTCTCGGTTTCTTGGCTTTTCGGTTTCTTGTTGGTTTATGCGGCATTTGGTGGCTTTTTGGTTTTGGCTTGTCGCATTCTCTGCATTCCCTTTTGGCGGCTGTGGCTTTTCGCATCCTCTGCTTTCCCAGTTCCTATCCGGGCTTTTGGTTTTGCACCTTTTCATTGGTTATTGGATTTGGCTTCCCGCATCATCAGCATCACCAGTTCCTCCCTATGCACTTCTTCGAACATCATGGGGGGGCTTCCACACCCCCTCAACCCACCCGCTACTTTTTAGATTGTTTGCAGAGTATTGCACCCCTATTTGAATCACTTTTTCGAGCATCCAATTTCGCGAGAAAATATTGTAAAATACGACATTCTAGGTAATCTATGTAATCCATGTATGTCTGTATGTATGCACTTCTTCGAACATCATAGGGGCAGCCACCCCCGCCAACCCTCCCGCTGCCTTTTAAATTTCTATCGCACCCTTTCTTGAATCATTGCACCCCTACTTGAATCATCACTTCTCGGAACATCACGCGGGAGGCTGCCCGCTACGTTTTAGATTTTCTACAGAGATTTAATTGCACCCCTATTCGAATCATCACTTCTTGGCTGCCCCCCCCCCAACCCCCCCGCTACTTTTTAGACTTTTCGCAGAGATTTAATTGCACCCCTATTCGAATCATCACTTCTGCGAACATCATGGGGGGGGCTGCCCTCTCCCCCCCAACCCCTCCCGCTACTTTTCATCATTTTTTGACCCCAGCAACCCGCCAGCTACTTTTTAGATTTTGTCACCCACGACTTGTTGGTGATGCTAGGGATGTTGGTCGGACATGCGGGGGATGTTGAAAACGATGGGGATGTTGACGGGCTAGTAAATGCGATTTCGCGACGACATTTTACTGGCCCGCACGAAACACGAAAAACAATAATCCGAGAAAAACAACTCTGCACCCTTTGTTTTTTGATGTCACCCACGATATTTTGTTTTCTTTCGTCGGGATCCATTTCTGATTTTTGCGGTGTGTGGGTTATAGAAATGTCCCCCAATTTTCAGGTGATTTGCCGAGATCATCGGCTGGGTTGGTACCCTTCCACCTCACATGGAATCTGACTCCTCTAAAACGGACCCTTTGGTGGGTTCCTTTTTTTTGCAGGGATGGTCCTGCTTGTTGAACGGATATTCCACGTTTAAAGTACATGTTACATGTTTGTGTTTCGTTTGTATCATCTGATTTTCACTCGCATGAGAAAAATGAACCCACAACTTTGTGATGCAACATCCTGCAGGAAACAGCCCAGACAATGAGTCCGCTTGTGCAGAACAAGCCCTTGCTGCGCTTGCAGAACATTCGTCAAAAGGTCCCATTGCAATTGTTGGTAGTGGAGTCAATTCTCAGCATGTTTCTCCTGGGATTTGTTAACAGTTTCATATTTGTGCCTGCGAACTTGTTTTGTTTTCAGAGTGTGTGCGCTTGTGTTACTTCTTGCGCCTGGGTTGGCTGTTTCAGCTTGCGATACGTTGGATTGTTGCCCAGTTGCGTGCGAGAAGGATGAGGTTTGCCAGGGCCAGGTTGCCATTCAACAACCTTCCTCTGGAACCCACCAACAAAGAACATGAGACTGTGAACAGTCACCTTGGGCCCGAGTCCATGTTAGACAGCATGGCTGCAATGAAGCATGTCTGTTCTGGCTGCGCTCACCGATTTGCCATTGTGAAGTGCAGGTGGGCGCAAACGATGGCAGCTGCAGAAGTGGAAGCCCCGGGAACGTCTGTTGCATCAGGGCTCCTTAAAAGATACATTTTGCCCATTTGAAACATGTTTTTTTCCACCAACATAAAGGGAAATCACAATTTACAAGGCTGTGTTCAGGTGTATAATGTAAGGATCCCTGTGCATGTTTCTCCCTCGAACCGATTCTCGCCTACTTGAATCCGATCTAGGAAGTTGGGAATGTGTCAAAACCAGGTACACCTGCGATACGCAGAAGCCCATCATGATGACCCCACATGTCTCGGCGCGCAGTTGCCGGACAGGCAAGTGTTACGGCCGCCAAGGTTAAGGAGCCCCGCCCACCCTCCAGTTGCCCATTGTTTTTTTGGTTCAAATGGCTAAGTGGAGACAATCCAGGAGCAAAACGGCACTCTCTTTCTGAGCAACGGCGGACATGGAGACAGAATGTTTGATACTCACTTCCCGGCGTCTCTTGGAGTTGGCAATCCTTTTCGCAGCGACAAGTCCCAGCTGAAGTGCGTCGGTCGAAACAACAAAGTGAGTTCGCACGTGAGCACAGGACGTGAAGATTCACCTTTTTTCAGAAACTAACCGACAAACTGAAATGCTGGCACCAAGGCCCACGCTGGCCGTCAGTGGAGTTGGATAGTGGCACATTCAGCTGCCTTCATTTGACTTGTCCCAAGAGTCACCATTTCGTCAAAGAAACGGGTCCATAGGCGTGAGCCTCCCAACCATGAACCCCAACCCCCCACCCCCCAAACCCCACCCAACCTCAACCCCCACCCAACCTCAACCCCCACCCACCCAACCCAACCCCAACCCCCCCCACCCCCCCCACCGCCCGCAACCCCAGCCCATCCCAGCCCCCGGGCCGGTGCCGCCATCTCTCCCTGCCGTCGGACCTCCGAGGCCTGTGCGAAAGGTTCGCCGGGCCTCAGATCCGCCCTGGCTGCTGCGGAGCGCCACGCCGCCGAGCAGGCGACTGAAAAAGTCCGTCGAGAGAATCGGGGGGTTAGAGGGGGGGGTCTAGGAGCATAGGTGTCCGTTTTGGTTGTTTTGATAGAAAAATAGATGGTTTTTGCTCATCTACCAGGGAAACCCATCTATTTCTAAAAGGACACCTATGCCTGGGAGTGTTTCCCTGCAAATCATCTAGGAGCTTCCCCATGAACAGCATCCACCTGGACCCTCAAAATTCCAGAAAGAAATGGGTGATTGCTCTAAGAACAAATAGGGGGAGAGTTCCCCCCTTGATGGGTAGCTTGAGGGTCCAGGCACTCGGGGAGACTCACTGGGCCAAGAGGGCGATGAATTCAAAACTGCAACCTGGAAACACATGCAAGGAATTCCTGGGGAAATTTCCCTGCTCCACTGGATATTTCTCCAAATGGGGGTCCAATTGTTTTTGTGTGAGGGTGGTCGACACTGTTGGCCGTGGAAAGCAGACAGGGTTCGTGTGGTGTTGAATGATTCCCTCGAAGGCACCAACTTCGATTTCCCAGTTTCTGCACTTGACATGTCTTAGGACCCATTTCATTTCGGTCAACTAAAAGTCAGGACTCAGGACTGATCAATCCACAGAAGTATAGGTGGCGTTTTTTGGTTGGAGACCCCCCCAACAAAAAAATGATGGTTTCCCTTTTGCTTCCCTGTTAACACCCCTCAAGAAGAGCAAACAACCGGAATTGTCCGAACCAGGGTTTGTGTTGTTGGAGGGACCTTTGTCAGGGGGCAACAAGGCAAACGTTGGCGCCATGTTGGGTCGAACTCCCCAAGTGGCCGAAAAAGGCCCCGGAATCTCCGGTCGCCCGGAGTGAAGAGCTGGCAGAACCACGGCTGCTGACGGTTTTTTTCGGTGTGAGGCCGGGTGTTTTTTTGGGTTTTTGCGCGAGGCCGAGAAGGAAAAACACATTTTTTGGGTTTTGGCTATTGAGTGGAAGAGGAAACCCGGCGATGCTTGTTTGAATGGGGTGGGGTTCCCCCATTTGGCAAAGCCAAGTGGGCTTAGTCTTCGCTCAGTTTTCGCTTGGCATCCGCCACGAAGGCGAAGGTCGCAAGGCGGGGTAGCCCAGAATTGCACGCCGCCCGGGGTGCCCGAGTTCCGTGAAAAGGGGAAGTAGGACAATTCCTCTTCCCCAGCTTCTGGACTTGCACCTTTTGGAATGATTGTTTGAGTGGACGAAAAGTCAGTTGTTTTAACCAATCCACTAAGGGGGGACAAAACTGAACCCTGTTATTATAGTTGTATAAGAGTTGCCGTTGCACCAGTTTGAATTGGCCAGAATCGCATATTGCCCACCTTGTTGCATTGCAGACCGAAACAACCTCTTAATCGACCTTGTGTGTGTGGGTGCGTGCGTGCGTGCGTGCGTGCGTGCGTGCGTGGGTGGGTGGGTGCGTGGGTGGGTGGGTGGGTGCGTGGGTGCGAGGGTGCGTGGGTGCGTGGGTGCGTGGGTGCGTGGGTGCGCGGTGCGCGGGTGCGCGGTGGCGCGTGCGCGTGTGCGCGCTTGCAGCGCACGCGTGCCGCAAGCGCGCACGCTTGCCCGTGCCCCCCGTGCGCGTGCGCGCGTGCGCGTGCGTGCGTGCGTGCGCGCGCGCTGCGCGCGTGTGTGTGTGTGTGTGTGTGTGTGTGTGTGTGTGTGTGTGTGTGTGTGTGTGTGTGTGTGTGTGTGTGTGTGTGTGTGTGTGTGGGTGTGTGGGTGTGTGGGTGTGTGGGTGTGTGCGTGGGTGCGTGGGTGCGTGGGTGCGTGGGTGCGTGGGTGCGTGGGTGCGTGGCTGCGTGGCTGCGTGCGTGCGTGCGTGCATGCGTGCGTGCGTGCATGCGTGCGTGCGTGTGCGTGCGTGCGTGCGTGCATGCGTGCGTGCGTGCGTGCTTGCTTGCTTGCGTGCGTGCGTGCGTGCGTGCTTGCTTGCTTGCGTGCGTGCGTGCGTGCGTGCGTGCGTGTGTGTGTGTGTGTGTGTGTGTGTGTGTGTTTAGAGGTACTCTTTTTCCGGTTTGTGGAAAGGGATGCAAAAAGGCCAGGTATCATTTTGGCAGTCCCCAGTTTTTGAGACATGTTCAGATTGTCAAAACAAACCTAAAGGCATTGGCTAGGTAGGTGGCTGTTTCCCTTGGGTTGAAGCCCCACTCCGTTGTTTCCTTGTTGCCTGCCGGGGGGGGGGGCAGGGCAGGCCATTAATTCACGTTCTATCAGGAAGACACCTTTGGGGGCAGCGTATGGCTTGCAAGTGGCAAGCGCCAATTAGCCCAGACCCCAAAAAGAGAAACCCTTAAAAGAAGCATGTTTGCATTTGTTTGGACAAGCTGGGGGATAAATAGCCCATGTTAGATTTCGGCTTTTGCCAGAACCCCTGTTGGACACCCACAAGCATGGCTCACCAAAAGCACTGCAGAGGTTCGCTCCAATACGCTTGGCTTCTCAGAATCTTGATTTCTCAAGCTGTGTGGTTTTCTTTTGGTTTCCCTCTCTTTGGAAGCAATCCAACACGGGATCCCCATTCCCCCCCCTCCCGCCCCGTCCCCCAGCGCAGGCTCCGAGCGCAGCGCTGTGACGAGCTGCCTGCGCCCCAGGTCGGCGCAGGTTGGGGGGAGGGAAATCACCAGCTGGTGTTTGGCGCTTGGGGGAGGAAATGGGAGCAGGAATTGTAGTGCCCTCCCTTGCTTAGCTGTCAGTGGTGATCAAAAAGAGGTTGGTTGGAAAAACAGGATCTCCCTGCTTTGATAGACCAACGGTGCTCTTTTGGACAGAGTTCTAATCATTTGAAAGTGCAACTAGGCGCGACGTCGCCACTTCTTCATGCGAAGCTCTGAACACCGACGCTCCCTGAAAGAAGGGATCCTCCTATTGGTGGGTCTATGTGTGTGTGTGTGTGTGTCGCCGGGGTTCATTGAATCAAACAGACGCCACAAAAAGAATACCCACTCCCTGAGTCTGTGGACTTTTATTCTTGGGAAAGCAATGTGAGTGGTACACAAGTTTAGGTTTTCTTTGGCCAACAAGAGGTACCCAGAGCGGGACCAACTTTCGGGAACCGGGGAAGCCCCAAAAACGTCAAGGCGAGTTGTGCCGTTGGACCTCAATCTCTTGAAGTTTCTCCAGACTCCAATTTGACTGTGTTTGTTTTTAGGGAACCACCTAAAATGCTGGTTTTCCTTTGGGTTTCCCTTTAAGCCCACAACAAAGAGGTACCCTCAAAAAAGACAGGCCCCAATAGCAACTGGCTCTTTGGATGGTTCAAGGGAAACCAAAAAGGACTCCGAAAGGTCATTCGGGAGGCCCAAAAGCGTGTGGGTACTTTGTTTTTGCGCACTCTGGTCTTTGATTTCTTGCATATGTTGCCTGAACAATACCTGTTCTTGCCTCCAACAAACTGTTTGTTAACTTTGGCAACTGGAAGCATGGACAAACAAATAAGTCCCACGTTTCGGGGGCTTTGGCTCGGTCACTTCTCATCGAGCCAGTGAAATTCCGGGTGCCTTGTGTTTTTGAAGGTAACCAAACGACGGATCATGACGGATCCATCCCGAGTTTTGGTTGACCGGGTTCCACTCCCAACTTCAGCTGACCCCAGTTTGAGTATTATGTGTTTCTCTTTGTTTCGTCGTTTGACCCCCCTGTTTGGTTTGTTTGGTTTGCTTCTGTTGTGGAGGGAACTTCACATCGAGGGCAGCCGTGCACCTTGACCTTCCAATCTTCCGGCTCAAGACAGGGGGGGAGAGTTTCGGCCGGCGAATCTGCGCATCCGCGCTCGGAGCGCGCGCTGGCTGGGCCATGGCGGTCCAGACGCTCGGGAAGCAAATGTCCTGGAGCTTTGTGCTAAATTCGCCCCTGAATCTTTATAACTCGTTTGAGGGTTGGTCATTGGTCTGGGCAACCTGCCGACTTTCTGGCCGTTTCGTCTCACCAAGCTGAAGCTTGGAGTAACGTACCCCATCGCCCAGAATGTTTGAATTCATCTCAGAAGAAATTCAATGGGAAGGAAGGCACTGAGTCGGCCCGCCCGCAAGCCTCCCCCCCCCATACTATCCCCTGCCTCAGGCATGGCTTTGTCTCAAAATGCGGGGACATGAATGGCTTAAGCGTTTGAGTTGTTCCGTTCGTCTGTAAAACGTGTTTCCCTCAAAAACGACCTCCCGGTTTGGCAAGTTGGCACCGATGAAAGCTTGCGCTCAGGACAGAGGCGCATGCCCGGAAAGCCGGACACTCAGAGTCAGCATGGCTAAGATGAAGACACTTGCCACCGAACACCTTTTAGTTTTACTAACATTTTTGGGAAGGTTTCTTGGAAAACCAACGAACAAAGGGTGCGTTGTTTTTTTACATTGACATCAATGAGTTCCACTGGTGTCAGCTAGGTTCTTCCGCTTTTCAGTGGGATCCATTGGTTCTTACAGGTACATATAACCGATAGCTGCTTTGCACGATCGCTAGGCTTGACTTCCCTCCTTGCCCTTTGCCTTTGTGATTGGTGGGGTTCCATCCTTCTTCCGACTGACAAGCGAACGGTTTTCAGAGGATCCATGTCCGGCTCGATTCATGCTACCCCAAGCGACTCCCGCATGCCGGATTGACACTCAGGCTTGCGTTGGACAGATTTTCTCTGGGGGTCCTGGGCAGGGTTACCCTCAGAGCCCCACCTGTGGGTGGTTTCAATGATGGTGGTTTCAAATTTTTATGTCAAAGACCACTGTTCCCGAGCACTCCGTGTAGACATGAGATGTGGACCCTTGTTATCCTTGTTTTCGTATCATGCACCTTGCCCCAGGGAAACACAACGTTTGGAGTTCGAAAGACGAGCAAGGGGTGAACGTATGTAGCAGAAATTCAGGATCCATCCTTAGATGCATTCCTTATGTGGGGTTTGTCGACTGGAACTCAACAGGGACCGTTTTGGTCGGTTTTGGCGTGTTAGGGAAAACACGCATTTGGCAACAAAAACCACATGGTCCTGTGGAAATACCCTCAGATTTGAGATCCCCGTTCCAACGTTGTCTAGGTCACGTGCGACAGATTGACGCGCTGTTTCCACCGGCTGATCCGGTTTGTTGGTGCTAAAAAATGAACACAGGGACATCCCGACCCTCTGAGCAAGAAGTGATGTGTGGAAGACCGGAGGTGCCAGCAAAGGGGCTTTTCACCATACGGAATGTCGGTGGAACAGGGAAGTAGTGAGGAGGGGCACCCCCACCGCTGGTGCCTCCCAATAGGCTGGGGCCGAAGTTGCCGATGTCTCGTGGAGGATCCTGGTTGAACCTGGCTGGAAGAAACATTTGCGTCAAAACCAGACATCTCCCCTGGCTTCATGCATCCAAAACATGACTCGGTAACATCGTTCTCTCATAGAATCCGCGATGAACAGAGGGCTTGACTTTCAACATCGCAATCGTTGAAGGAGTGCGTGTTGGTTTTGTTCCTGGAAATGACTTGTATCAAACATTGGGGCCGCTTATCCAAATGAACGATTCCTTTGGGTCTCTGTTTCTGCTCATGTTTTGGTTTCCCCACAGGAAGCGGATTACGTGCCCAAGGCCTCTGGAGGCTGGCCTTTCTATTTGGCTGATTGTTGGGTTCGAGGGGATGGGAGGATTGGGGTTGAGCCCCCGTCGTTAACCCGATTCTTTTCAAGCATTTTTGTTTTTCTTCTTTTTTTCTCGCGGGGTTGTGGTTGTTTTGGCATTTGCCAGCCGCATCCGGCAAGGGAAGAGACTGAGCTAAATCATTACACCTGATTGCCCCATGATCATGGCGGAACTTGGTTTTGCAATACCCCACGACCCCCCATTCCAAGAAGTCAAGCCCTTGCAGCATGGGAAGGCTGCCCTCCCACCTGACACTGCCAGTTGGTCTTTTTTTGCCGATGGGGATGAAGGGGGGGGGGTGGTCTGCCAAGGGTGCAACCTGTCTCCCAGACCAACTGAAAATCGAGGTGTCTGGGCCCCCGGTCCAGGAATTTGGGTGTCCTTTCTGGTTGTCTTGGTCGAAAAATGGATGGGTTTCGATTCCTGGTTTACCAGGTGGTTTTTGCTCATCTACCAGGGAAACCCATCTGTTTGCCCTAAGAGGACACCTATGGCTCCAGGAAAAGCCTCAAAGGACTTTGATGAGACCCCACATGGGTTCTAAGAAACGGGGTCCCATCGCTTGCGCTAAAGGACGATGTGTAAATGGCACCGAAAGGAGCCCACTTTTAGAAGCTCGGGCACCTATTTGGAGGGCATGCCAGCCACTTCTGCCCATCGGATGATTTTGCCCCAGCCACTTCTGCCGCCTTTTTGGGAGCAAATGCTTACACATCCATTGGGAACGATTTAGCTTGAAGATTGCCCGACAGAGGTTGAACGTGTTCACAGGCATTGCGTCTTCTATACGTTGTTTGTTGTTCTTTTTGTGAGTGTTCTTATTTGCTTGCCTGCCTTTGGATCACGCGACCCGGCCAGTCGCAGAACTCTCCGCCCGGGTCTGAGGGCAAGCAGGGGCAGGAAAAGCATCGATAGGCAGATCCGTGGGAAACTGCAAACATCTGAGGAATACTTTGGTGCATTTTGCTTGGATGTTAGGACTTTAACTGTTTGCCAACTAATGGGTTTTCCATGAAGCCACTAAAAGTTACACTTCTAGCAGGGCTTCGCAGAAAGCAACCGAGAATAGCCTCCTCACGCAAAACGTCAACGAAAAGTCCAGGATTCCTAGAATGGGACACTCCCGTATTCATTGAAGGTTTTCCTTCAACTGCCAGTCCGGTCGAATGTGATAACCATGAAAACTGTGGAAAACAGACCCTATCAGCCGGGATGAAAGCGCCCCCACGTGCACTTCCCACCTGAGAACCGCATTGGTAGACTTCGATGAAGAAATCTCGACGGAAGGTTCCTTTAGCAGCCTCATGACGGCGTTCAGAGTTGAGCACACAGCCCTGCCAACTTAAGTGAATACCCCAGACACTCGCCGGCATTTAAGGCAAAAGCAGGTTTCAGTTTTCCCTACCTCCAGCTGATTCGGTAACTTCACGACTTGGAAAGTCATAAATCGGTTGCTTCCATTCGGGTCTCTCTTCTTGGAGTTGGTACCTTTTCTTTTGTTTCAAAGTGCACACCCAGCCGAAAAACCCAAAAGCCGCACCTGCGGCCCACCCGGACGCACCAAACCGAACCCCCGCGCGGGCGGGTCCACGGGATCGATCCGAGCGAGGCGGAGGGCGCGAAGTTGGCGGGGAAGCTGAGCCACGCCGTTGGGGCGCTGCAGGCGGGCCACGACCAGATCTTCCAGGCGGGGACTGGGGGTGGAGCGGGGGCGACCGGGCGGGTGGGGGGAGGAGGAGGGGTTGTGTTTTTTTGGGGGGAGGGTTCGGGGGGTTTTGGGCAAGATCCAGCCAGGATATGGACCGCAGGATTTTGGCCTCTTTGTTCGACCCACGCCCACATGGCTCCGTATTTCTCGCTGGTTACAAGCAGGCCGCTTGCGGTGACTATAAAGCCTGTGATTTTTTCGGCGTGGTTATCTCGTTAAGAACAATTGCTCATGTTTTTGGAAACATGGGGGGGGTTAAGGGCCAATTTG